TGACCCCCCTCCCCTTCCCTATCTTACGTAATATTCTGGCATGATTTTATAAAAAGATTTTAACCAAAAAAAATTTTTTATAAACCTTAAAAACCATAGGTCCAAAATATATAATTATTAATTAGTTAATTAATATGTACTATTATTTATAAAAGACTTCAGGTGATCAAATTTAAAAATATAAAAATTTAATGAATTCGAATGAACAATTTATTTTAAGAACTTTATTTTTTGATTATTAACAATATTACTATTATTATTATTATCATTAATCAACGTCAAAATATTTATTTTTATATTAATTTTAATTTTCACAAAAGAAGCAAAAATCTTTGCCAGATCGACTAGCTAGTGTACGTGTAAACAGAAACATCATACAAAATAAAACAAGAGAGAGTAGAGAGAAACCACATTCCGTTGCCATATTGATTACATCTTTTCTAAGGACAAACAAAAATAAACTACATGCTGCTAAAATGTGCTAGGTGCACCTGGGGACCAAATAATAAAGCTTACAAAACTCTATATAATGGGGCAATACAACCAATGCTAGTTTACGCGGCCTCTGGCTGTGATCATGTAACTAGTAAAAATTCAGTAGCAAGTAAATTACTCTCTTCAAAGCCAGTTTGCCATCAAAATTTCAAAGCACTGCAGAACTGTTTTTATTAATGCCTCTCTGATAATAGTAGGGCTCCTTCCTTTGCCACTATGTATTGCAGAAAAAGTTCTAAACTACTACATCAGAACTACAAACGTCAAGGCTCAATAACGGTCTCTACTCCTATCTACGGCTGTTCATACGCTACCACATTGCAATTACCCTACTATCTCTGATCATCATTCTGTAAACAAGGTTATTTGGTGTCATATGCTTCCTCCATGGATAATCTTGCAGACATCAATATCTACACAGATGAGTCCAAAAGCTCCCTTCTTGTCGGCTCAAGTATCTCTATCTTCCTCCAAACCTACATATTTTGCCAAAAATATGTTAGAAGGTGCAGATACCTCCCATATACCTCCATCTATCAAGCTGAAGAAGATGCTGACTACCAAGCTGTTCAGTGGGCCACTTCACTACCAAACAAAACTCTGTCTATCAACATTTATAGTGATTCTGACTGTCCTAAAAGCTCTATTAAATCCCAATTGCAGTAGCAATAAAATGCATATATCCAGCACCATATTGAAAATCTTGTAAATAAAAAAATTTTTATATTTGTTCCTGGCCATACTGGCGTACTAGGAAATGAAAACGCTAACATTGAGGCTAAGTCAGCTGCAAAGGAAACTGACTTGGACTACACTCACACCCCTCTCTCACGTAGCAGCCTTAAAAGTTATATTCATGACAACGCTATGCGAAAGTGGAATCAGTAAAAGTAGTTGAGCAGTAAAACTTGTAGAATAACACGACTTTATTTTCCTAGTGTTGAATGTAGGTTCTCATTAATACTTAGCGATTTAACGTTTGCTACTGCTCAACTACTTACTGAGCATGGTAATTTTAGAAGCTACCTGGAGATGTATAACCGCGCAGAAACTGCTTTTGCTCTACAGAAAACCTAGACACTTTCGATCACGTGATCTATCATTGTCCAATTTACAATCAACATACATTTATTCTGAAATTAGAAATCTTTACGCTTGGTTTCAAGCGGCCATGTCCACTGGATAAGTTTGTTCAGAAGCCACTTTTTGATGCTTTTTACAGTTATGTTCAAAAAATATGGAAAAAAAGACTATTTATAATTTATAATTTCTAGTTTTACATTTTAGTTTTCACTAAAAGCCGAATACTAATTTTATGTTTATTTTGTATCGTGTATTTCGGTTTATG